CTTTGCACTTAGGTTCTTCAGCAAAATACTTTTGTTTCAGCCTACCGTTCAGGTTTTTTTCCCCTAGGACAGGGGTCAGCAACCCACGGCTCCGGAGCCACATGTGGCTCTTTCATCCCTCTGCTGCAGCTCCGTTGCTCAAAATATGCATCACAACTGCCAGTGTGCGACACTTGCTGGCACGCGATTTATTGAGCTTTTCAATCTCTGGTAGGCCAACCATGGATAAATCCAAGAAAAGAAAAGTTTCAGAAGAAACCAGAATTTTTAATGGTACGTGGGCAGATTCATTTGGTTTCACTGCTGACGAGACTGGTTTACCAGTATGCTTAATATGTGGTGAGAAATTGGCAAATAACAAAAAGTCGAATGTTGCAAGACATTTCCAGAATAAATACACAGCCTTTGCTGGAAAATATCTGGATGGAGATGAGAGGAAAAAAAAGCCATTTTGGAACTGATGTGGAAGGTTGATCTGAGCAAAAATCATTTCAAGAAGTGGATCAAGTCTGCAAATTCAACTACATATGCTAGTTTTGTGGTTGCTCAGGAAATAGTCAGGCACGGGAAGTCATTTACAGATTGATATTATATAAAAGAATCATTCATCAATTTCATAAATGCAACACACTATAGGGGACTGCAGGTGGCGCAGTGGTTTAAACTGCTGTGTTGCTGTGCTGGTTGATCGAAAGGTCACTGGTTCGAATCTGCATAACGGGGTGAGTTCCCGTTGCTCCGCCCCAGCTCCTGCCAACCTTGCAGTTCAAAAGCATGCAAATGCAAGTAGATAAAAAGATACCACTTCGGTGGGCAGGTAAACAGCGTTCCGTGCACTTCGGTGTTTAGTCATGCCGGCCATATGACCATGGAGACTGACTGCGGACAAATGCTGGCTCCCTCGGCTACGAAACGGAGATGAGCACCGCCCCCTAGAGTCAGGCATGACTGGACTTAATGTCAAGGGGAAACCTTTACCTTTTATAGGTTTTTTATACGTACATAGCATAAAGGTAAAAAAACGATATATGCAGTGTTATCTTCATTTTAGATGTCAAAAGGATTTTGTGGCTCCCAGTGTTTTCTTTTCTGTGGGAAACGGGTCCAAATGGCTCGTTCAGTGTTTAAGGTTGCCAACCCCTGCCCTGGGAAATGAATGCTTTTGTGACTAACCAAGCTCTCTATGATAGCATTTTACAAATCAGCAAGACCCCACCCCACCTCCTGGCTACTATTTTTGAGCACAATCAAAAACATGTGAAAATCAAAACTGACCCAAACAAGTGGGCATGGCTCTGCAGCGAGTTCTTGTGACATTCATTGTGTATGCATCGTCTGCACATGTAAAAAATAATAGAATTATCCATGTGCATTTATCTGTCTATCTACACCTGCAAAGATTCCAGCTAAATTCAGAAACAGCAGCAAGGTTAGAAGGGGGTGTTTGGTGCTGACATTGTTTCTGTTTAAGGGAAAGTCTTGGAGCTTTGACCTTGTGATTGCTGGCTCTTCTAAAGCATTGATTGTATCATATAGCAGGGTGCAGCTCTTCTCCACAAACAAATCTGCCTGAGTCTTGATGAAAAAGCACCTTCCACACCCCACTGATCCTCTAGCAGACCCATTAGCAAGCAGTAGCTGCTCTCCCAGCACATTATGTAGTGAGTTGGCATATGTTTAGTCTGCCACTGGATTTACTCATGGGTAGGAGTAATATGCCCTTTGCTAGCACATCTATTTAAATTTTGCTTTCTGTGATGCGTTGAGGAAAAATACTTTTCTATGACTAGAAAAAAGAGCAACCTAGAGAAAGTCCTAACTGGAAATTCTGTCAGCTGAAATTTCAGGCAGCTCCTCCACTCTTGGCAGAAGAACTTCCACGTCTAATGGTGCATTGCCTGGGCATTTTGGTCATCCAGCTTTAGCAATTAAATGCTGGTGAGAAAAATCCAAGTGATGGGTGATGATTAATATTTTCTCCTTCTCCCCTACTAGATGAATGGGGGTGTATAGACATCTTAAGCGGAATAGCAATCTGCTGGAGTGCTAATGCTGTGAACCCTTATCTCATATTCTGCCTGTAAATTCACGTGAATGAACTGTACACCACAGAAACACCGTAAGTTTCCAGTGACCACTTTCTAAGAAAACTGATCTCTGGAAGCCCTGCAATGTCTAACTACTCCGACATGGGGTGCAACACATAACAGTATTCACCAGCTCCCTTCTTCTACACTTCTCAAACTTGCCCTAAATACACACATGGTGTGCGTGTGTCCATTCTTTATTGATATCAGGGTAACCAGAACATTACCCTGCCAATGCAATTAAGGATCTGGAAAACAAAAATGAGATGCCAGATGGAGTCCAGACAGGAAGCAGATGGATGTGGTTAGAACTAATTTTCCTAAGTACTGAGTAACATGGAATGCATTAGTGGATCATGGGAACCTTGAAACAGTTGGTGAAAAGGTAGTATAAAGTAATAACAACACAACAACAACAATATCCCAGTCCATGAAAAAAAACCTGAAATTTAATTTTTGTTTCTGTTGTAATCTAGTAAGAAGGAGGAGACTAGATTGGTTTGTTTGAGCTCTTAACTGTTTATAATATCCATGGGAGAACATGGCTGGCTGGAACCCTGAGCAGGAGCATTCTGGGTAGAGGGTGAGGTTACACTGCAACATTTTGTTGCAGGTATCATTGGTAATGCTAATAATACTGCCTTCTATAGAGCAATTCTACACATGACTTTCACAAATAATTCCCACTGTGTTCACAGAGTTATTCCCAGGTAAATAGAAATAGGACTGCGGCATTTCTCTCATTGTGGCATTTCCAAATAGGATAAATGTAAACCATTGTTGTTTTTTTCACATAATTAACACAGGCAGAAAACTCAAATTTGGTTCAACGTTGTAGAACCTAAATCTATTGCTGACCTCATTAGTAAAATATATTAGGGAATCATGAGATTAGAGACAATAAACAAACGAATAAGTAAAATATTAAGACTAAATTCTGACAGGAAAATGAATCTCAGAATTGACTGGGAAACACTGAATAAGTTGTAGAGCCAGCAAATAGTACCATGCTTGACTCACATTGCAGAATAACTAGTACATGAAAGGACTATTTTGAAATAGGCCTTATCTGAAAATCTGAAGAAATTAGATGTGTAATATTTCAGTGCTACCCACAATGCTTGTTTCTGACACCTAAAGACCTAGTTCATACAATCAAACGCCACAGCTGTGGTTCATACTTAGATCTGAGTATTCAATGGGTGGCCTCAACTTGTATCATGCACACCTGGGGGTGTCTGGAGGTGGCTTTGCATGTGTGTTAAACAACTCATACACAACCCAACAACAGACTGGGGGTTATGTGAGGGCTGTTTAACCCTCACACAATCCCTGCTGCCTGCATTTGCATGACATAACAAACATCAGCTGAGAGCTAAGTATTCAAAATGGCTGCCCGCATGTGCCACAGTCTGCAATGACTTAAACAAAACATACTGGGCAGTTTGATTATGAAAACTGGCCTATACAAAATGATAACTATATTAATTAGTAATGGAAGAAGTTGCTGAAGTTCATGACTGCTTTGTCCTGTTCTTTTTCACAAGCCTGGTCCATCTCTCAGTAGTGACTGATTACTTCTAGTATTGAATAACACATACCTTAACACAGAGTAAATGCCAATAAAACAATTGGCTGGCATTACTGGCGTATGCAGGCTTTTCATTCTGCTTCAGAGACCAGTCAGTCTGCATTTCATTCCATGTCAACTGTACAAACACTTGATGGGCATGACCAGGTGTTTGCTTTTGCCCGATCAGACTCCCCTGCATGCTAGCTGGTAACCACTATCCCTGCTTGCCCCGTACAGCATGCTTTTAGGACAGGGATGAAAAGCCTGTGGCCCTCCAATTGCTGTGGCATTTCAACTTCCATTATCCCTAACTGTTGGCTATAGTGGCTGGGACTGATGGGAGTCAGAATCCAATAACCATCTGGAGGTCACAGACATACCCACTCCTGATTTATAGTTGGTAATTCACATATGCATGCATATAAGTTAATGACTACACAATATCTGGCAGCTGAGAGTTTGAAATGGGACCTTTGAAATACATCTTCTGAGGTGATGTATGCAGCGTTTCACCTTAGATGGCATGCACCTCACACATGCAAGTCATGCATTTGTAAACCTAGCCTCAGATGACCTGAGAGGACTGCTGAAGCAAAAAAATAAAAAGTCCCTCTCTGCATGTTCCAGAGCTCTTGTCTTTTCACTTGCTTTAGCCTTAAATGTACCTTGATTCAGACTTGTTTATGTAAATAAATTCATGTCTGAAGTGAGAATGGCAGTTGTTATTCTCTTGGGGGAAAATATTGCTGGAAGAATCCTTCAGAAACAATTAAAAATTAGCAGGTTTGTAGTAATAGTTGGTTGATTTACCCAGGTTCCAACAAAGACAAGAGGTTTGTGGAAGACTGAAGGCTAGTAACTTTCAAGTAAGCCAACATTTAAGCAAGAACACATTAGTCAAAAGCAGTGTGTACTGTTTGTCAAGCCCTAGTTCAAACACTCACTCATCTATGAAGCTCACTGGATGACCTTGGGCCAATTGTTTACTTCTTGCCTGACCTACATCACAGGGTTGTTGTGAGGATAAATTTGGGGATGAGGGAACTAGGTGCACTACGATGAGCTCCTTGGAAGAAGGATGAAATTAAAAGGGAGTAAGTTAAAAAAAACTAGTGTAGAAAGGCTATTCTTTTGACACTGCAAGTCTTTTCTTACATGGACTGACAACTCAGGAGCAGATGTTCCTGAGACATACACACCAAGAAAACTGCAATGAAGGCAAGATTTTTCCAAAATCACTATCTGAAGTAAATTCTCAGTTAAAATTCAGATCAAGCCGCATGTATGACTCTGGAAGTCTCCCAGCAGACACCCTCCAAATGTGCCCAATGCCCTCTATGATGGGTGGCTGGGGACATTGGGAATTGTAGTGCAGCACATCTGGAGGATATCAGGTTGGAGGAGGTTGACTTAAGCTTGCAGGTCTTTGCAGTTCAGAAACAGTGCCTGAAACTTAAAATACTGCTGACACAACTAATTAAAAACTCCAAGAAAATTCTGTTATGTGCATCTGTCCAGTAAAATAGCTCAATTGTAAAATTTAAACTAACAAGGAGAACAAGGAACCCTAGAAAGCAAGCAAGCAAGCAAGCAGCATCAAGAAGGGGAAGTAAAAAGTAGTGCACTGCATCTCAGGCCTACAGAAGCATCAGTCAAAATTTACTACAGAGCCTCAGCTCCCTTTTGGCTTTTATAACCTGCTTACTCACAACTCTGTTGTAATGGGTGGTCTGTAAAGCATTAGGCCTGTAAACAGAAGCTTATGGACAATCTTTCCTACCCACTCCCCGGCACAGCCCAGCCCAGCCCAGCCCAAGGTTACCCCATTTCTCAAAACAAAGCAGGGAAAAATGTGTACGAACAAGAAAAACAGATGAAACAGGGAAGAGGGAGAGAGAGAAACCCAGCCACAGCCAGGGTTCGGGCTCTCGCTGTCCCTCCCACAGCAAACTCCTCCCCTACAAACTCAGCCGTCTTCCAATCAGCACCTGCGAAGGCAGCGAAAGTTACCGATCCGGCTCCCCCAAGCCTTCACTCCCTTTCTGTCCAAGAGACGCCCGGGGCAAGGCGGAGGTCAGGTGGAGCGCCATGGCTTATTTGCATGACCCAATCGGAAGGCCGCATGCAAACGAGCCGTGAGACGGTTGGCTGGGGGTTGGCAGGATAACTCCTGCCCCAGGAGTCCTTTGTCCCCTTCGAGTGTGCTTGGTGCTACTGTAGGAGCGGCTGTTGCGGGTCGCGCAGAGGCGTGTACAGGCGGCTGCGGGCATCGTGGGTGGGGGCAAGAGAAGGAAGGAAGAAGGCAACTGGGAGTGAAGTGCAACAGCAGCGACGCCTGTTTTCGAGTCAGTGTCGGAGGATTGATCGACAGAGGGACACGCACCGCGGTCAGCCGGAGCGGCGCTTAACACCCAGTTAGTCAGGAAGGAGAAGCAGCCAGGAGGAGGAATAGGGCCGGGGGCCCGACTCCAGCTGCCTCGTTCTCCCGTCCCGCTTTGCAGGGACTTGCCGCCGCAACATGACTCTGGAAGAGCTCGCTGGGGAGCATCAGACATTTGGAAGGTACAAAGCACCACGACAGCTGCTCGGCCGCCCGCGATCCGGGCGGGGGCGGGGGCGGCGGCGGGGTGGGCGCGTCCGCTGCAGATTGTCAAGTTTTCGAAGTCCGCTGCGGGAGGAAGGCGGCGGGGGGGGGGCGGTCAGGCTCGCACGCCTCGCCAGCTAAGCAGTCGCCGCCGCGGCCGCCACCTCGCAGCTGGGAGGGGGAGGGAACCTTTGCTGCAAAAATGCCTGAAGGGGATCCGGGAGAGGCGGTGCGGGAGAAGTGAGATCTGCGTGTGCGTGAGGCAGAAAATCTAGGAGGCAAGTGTGTGTGAGTGGGTTGTGGCTTTTTTTTCCTGACAGGACAAAAACAACCCAGTACACGCAGACATCCAGACAACCAGAGTGTAGAAACGACTGTTCTGAAGCCACATCTCGCTCCCGTTTCTTTAGGAGTCGATCACTTCGAGTTAAAGGGAGTTTTCCGCTCAGTTCTTTCCTCAGTTTTGCAGGCTAGGAGGGCGCTAGGAGGAAATATGGATTAGGGATCTGCTTAAGATGGGTTCCTAGCTTGTTTTCTTTTATACTTTTGTAAAGTTTTCACTGTAGCTTGAGTTAGTTTCTCCTTTCTCTCTCGTTTGGTGGTGGGGCTTCCATCAGCATGGAGAAAGTAGGCGATGCCTTGGAGGAAGTCCTAAACAAAGCCCTGACTCAGAGAAGCATCACCATTGGGGTGTATGAGGCTGCCAAATTGCTCAATGTGTAAGTGAAATCTGACTTTCTGTACCTTATTTATGTAGGTTATTAACAGCAACTGCCATGACCTACTCCTACCATTATTAGGTTGCAGCACTTAAAGAGCTTTTGGGCTCATTTCCTCTCTGTTGTTTTATCTGAGGAAATACTAGGGCATAAAAGATCTGTCTCCTCAAGGTGTCATCTTGGGTCACATGGACGCTAAAAAATATCTGGGTGTTTGGTCATAGTCATGTAAATATTTGTTCGCGTTGTGTATGCCACATAGGCATAGTTGTTGTTGGGTTTTTTTTAATGGGCCATTTTTCAGAAGAACCCCCCCTTTACCCACAATGCAAGAGTTCTAAGCACTCAGTGACAGTTGACACAATGGGAACTGCTGATTAGCAGTTTTGAAAATGTGCCTTTCAGCATGGTGCTGAAATGTAATCAGGCTGTGTTTTAAAAATGCCCCCTTGCTCTCTGTGGACCTTCACTAGAGATGCTGAGCACTTAAAATTCAGTTCCCATTATCCAAGGCATAGGTGAAGGATCAAGCCCATAGTATTGTTTGTGAACAGTATGGGTTCATATGGGATAGTAGCATGCCCAGTTCCTGTTTTGCCTCAGTTCTGTCATTGTAAAATTCATCCTTGTTCCTTGGATTGTGACTTAAGTCTGCATTGTTTTTTCTCTGCAGGGATCCTGATAATGTGGTGCTCTGTCTGTTGGCAGCAGATGAAGAAGACAATCAGGATGTGGCTTTACAAATTCACTTCACCCTGATTCAGGCTTTCTGCTGTGAGAATGACATTAACATTCTTCGAGTGAGTAACCCCAGTCGGCTTGCAGAGCTGCTACTTCTAGGGGCAAGTGGAGGCGGAGAGCAGCCTGCAGACCTGCACTGTATACTTGTGACGGTAAGTGTTGTGCTCCATTAACAGATGGGACATAAATTCTATCTGGCCAGGGTGATCTTACTTGACCATAAGAGCAGCATTTCCGTGAAATGAACTTGAATGGCAAACTAAAAATCTCCCTTAAGTCTTTTGTCCCACTTCAGCATTTTAATTGCACTGTTAGGTGCTTGTTTTAGGTTTAAGATTGTTAGGTGCTATATTGTTGAGTGTCCTCGCACTTTGTACATCTGGTTGAGAGTCAGCTTTCCTTTAGTTAGTCTTTTCCTCTGCACAAATTGCATCATAGTTCCTACTTTCGGATTTTTAAAGCAAGACTTGTTCAAACATGCTCTATCCTGTTGACAACAGGAGACTAAAACCCCATGAGTCACCTTTCTACAGTAATTCCCTGCCTATGTTTGTCTTTCCTTATTGCTAATTGGTTCAGAGGTCAATTAGATTAGTTTAACTGTGACAAAAAGACTGGTCACAGTTACTCAATCTGTTTGTAGGACTGAATGTGATGTGTATAGAGTTGAATTGTTAGTGATAGTCCAGAGAATAGTCCATTTTCAAGAAAAGGTTTCCATTGTTAATGTTTTTGCTATAAAAACTTTTTTTTAAAGACAAGTTACTAGACTTGTAGATAGAAGGGGAATTCTGCTGGTGCAATTGCACTTGACAGGTACAAGTGCCTAGAACTGTGAGATTTATCTAAAAATTAATGAGCTGACACTGAAAACTTTTAGGTCTCTACATATATAACTAAACATTAAATTGCATATACACAGGCCATAAGTTACTTGACTGTTGATATTAAAAATTGCTTTCAGTATTGTGAACTCTAATATGCTTAATACCAAAGAACAGGAATCACATTTTCTTGAGTTATTAATCTTCATCAAAACTGATAATAGGTGAATTCTGAAAATATGCTAGATTATTTAAAGGATGTAATGTACAGACTAATTCTCTTCCCAAACAGTAAAAAGCAAGAACAACTTAACACATTTTGAACAGTAAATACTTCCAATTGCAGCTTTTTGTCTCTTCTATTAGTTGTGTAAAAATAAATCATTCCAAAATACCCTGTAACATGTGTTATAAAAACAAAATTATATGTAAGTGCCTTGATCTAAAGAAGCAGGGCACTTCTGTGCATGTCTATTTAGAAATATGCCAGTGGAGTTCAATTAGCCCTACTAGGTATGTGGCATTCATAGAAAGGCTTTTTGTTTACAGCATTTTCATTTATGCTGACAACATGCCTTTTCCTTCCCTTCCCTACAGAATCCACATGCTTCTCAGTGGAAGGATCCAGCCCTAAGTCAGCTGATCTGCTTTTGCCGGGAAAGCCGCTACATGGATCAGTGGGTCCCTGTGATTAACCTTCCTGAACGATGACATTACATGAATGAAGCTGAACTGTATAGAAAAATTGCACTGAAGTTTTAAAATACCTTAGTAGTTTGCTCAGGAAGTAATTTCCCAGCCTGGCACAAGGATAATAATTGATGTCAAGTGGGTAGGATGAAGCTGAACTACATATTGTGTGAAACTGAAGGACATTTGACTTCGCTGTTGGAAAATGATGGACCTGAAAGCAGAAGTTGCATTGAGCGAACAATAGGAAGTAATTGGAGGAAGTTGGAGCTCTGCAAGAAGGTGATGAAAGTAGGGTTATGGAGTTTCTTTCAGAACATACCAAATATACTTTGTTGGAGTTGTAAAAGAACAACTTCTTAGTTTCCGTTTTTAAATATTTCACACTTGTAAGAGCTAAGGAAAAAAAGTTTATCATTCTTAAAACTATTTTATTTTGTATCAACTAGCTGATCTCTGCAGTTTTTATTCTAAGAAATTTAAGTTATTTTATGATACTGATGAAAAAATATTTATACAAGGTATTTTCAAAAGCATCTTACTTGCACCACTTGTATTAAAATGTTTGAACTGCTGCTTTTTCCTAAATTGTTTGAAAATGGGACTGTGTTCACTCCAATAAAGATGTGGAAGTCAGTGTTTTTGCTTTTCTGGTTGAGACAACAAAAGGAATTGGTTGGTGTTGGTGATGCAGTTCCTCAGAAGTGGATAAATACACAAGAGAATTGTGCTACTCTAGGCCACAGCTGCTAGGACACCATAGCCAGTGTATGCACAAACATTTAAATATTTGTACAACACACCTGCAATTTCCTTACAACAACATAGGAAACTGCAAGTAAGGAGGTCACCAGAGATAGAAATACAGTGTTGCTGTTTGCTATGCCCCTTCGTTTTTAAACTGGCTGTTATGGATGCTCCTGAACTAAGTGGGAGATGAAATGAAGCAGGAAGAGACAAGTTTTACAAATTAGTGGATACTGCAGTGGGAGAAGTGTTGGCATTGCTGTTTTGTGCTGGAGTTGTATAGCCCCTAAAAAATCAAAATGCAAAGGGACATAATGTATAAATATTGGGAAAAGATGATAACAACAATCTGTAAAAGACAGGCAATCACACCAGCAAGGTGTTAAGGGATTGCGTGATTTCCCAGATGGCAAACTTAAGACCCATGTCTCCTGGAAAAACAATGCTAGTGCAAACTTGTTAAGTGCACTAAAAACTACTGGTTGCTATGAAAAGGATGTAATATATATATGATTAATCTCATTATGAAAGTTTAGTAAATAACTTAAGCAAATGAAAAATTCTTCAAAATCTCCTAATTTGTCTAAACATGGGTGCTATTTAAAGCACCTCCTGATTTAATGTCTCAGATTTTTACATTTAACTTTCTTGTGTGAGGGATGGTTATACAATAAGGGGGTAGTCAAGACAAAGACATACCTAAATTGCACTGGGACTATTGCTTGCCTAAAATTTTCCCTATGTGTCAGACCTGTTTAAAATTTCACCCAGTGCTGTAATTTTTTAATCTCTTATTTTCCCACTTAAGAGGTTGTTAGGAAGGACCCACTGAATCACTTTTATCATTATACAAAAAAGGAGGACATTGCCTTAGTGTATTATACAGGACACAGAAAAGAAAGGGTAGACTCTTGTTTAGTTTGTATAAGTCATAGAAGTAAATGGAAATATTTGGGCACAAGGTGCCTGAGGGCAAGTACACAAAAAGGTTAAACAATAATGGTTCACCAATGTAAACAGGTGGGGACATTTTGACTAAAATGTGGATAGTATGAAGGTAGGTGACCAGGAAGTTCAAAAATTTACAAATGACTTTTCTGGGCAAGACCACTCAGCCTGGTTTGCATATAATGCTAATGATGGTTTACTTACCCAGGGTTTGTTTGGCAGATAATTATACAAACTGGTTTATTGTCCTGGAGTTACTTCCCTCTTTTCCCTGCTACTTTCCTGTGCATCAAATGGTTTTGCAGCACTGTAGCTCTGGCAAATATGGTGGATTACTATTTTTGGACACTCTTGCCTGCCACCTCTGTAGCCTGAACAACTCATGGTTCTAGGTTCACATGTAAGGTCAAATTCATGGTTTAAACAATTCAGAGGCCACAAGCCAAAATCAAACCATGCCTTCACTTTCTGGGTTGCTCCCAGTAAACAAACCATTGTTTGCTAGCAAGGCCACATTCACGTATCACAACCACCCAGCAATCCTAAGCATTCTGTATGGACCAGGTCAAAGGGACTCAGATGTTTCCATAATCAAAATTAGAACAATGACTGATGTTCTTTACATTGGGTGCCCAATATATTTGCCTCCTGCAAATATATTGGGCACCCGATATAAAGAACACCCAATTAATGTTTCCCATGGTAATGAAAATATTAAAATAACCATGTGTGCCCCCTAATGGTACCCCATCATCTGACACTTCTCAGATGACCTAAATTCTGCTTAATAGCAGAGTTGGCTCTGCACAAGATACATCTTGTAAGGGGGGAAAAACCCCCACATGCCATTCTTGTATCCTGTGGCATATACTTTAGAGAATTCTTATGAGGTCTTCTTGTGGCAACTACAATAATTAGTGATGCAGATGGAACATACAGACAGAAGCCGCCTAACAGTGCAATCCTGTCCTCAGGTAACAGCTGTGCTAAAACTACCTACCACACATAAGTGACCTTATACTGATACAATCCTCTTTCAATGGTGTTGCATCTAACACAGATGTTGGAGCTGTAGCATGCATATAACTGTATGCTGTACACTTTTAAGCACCCAAGGCTGCTATAAGTACCTCTCACTGCACTGTGAACATAAAGTATCAGTGAAATGTCCAAAAATCACACCATGTTAGGAGTCAGAAAATGGGAATGACTCCCCACTCCTCAGAGTTCATTGAGCAGCTTGCCCTCAGTCTTAGTGGAAAACAGAAGTTACAATACTGAACACATAGTGAGGAACAATAGCACCATTCTATTTTTTCAAACATGACAACTGTCCTTGAAACCTGGAATTACTGCTTTGTATGCCATTTTAAGTGTTAGCCTTTCAAAATAATGTATTTAGTTGAGAAGTATTGGTGTTAATTCTTTTTCCATCTTAAACATTTGGAGGTGGGCAGAAATGGCAATCATTAAATAATAATCTGACTTTTTTCCCTAAAAGGGAGAGTGAACAGAAATGTCATTCATTATTTCAAGGGGTGTCACTAAAGAATCTTGTACATACCTGGATGAAATGGAGACTGCTCAGCAGCAATGCAGATAGATGGAACAAGCTGTACCAGTATTCTGCACATAGTTAAAGATCTATGATTAACTGTGGATGAAACTGTAGTTAAGGAGTGCATGTAGCTGCAGAACCTGAAACTCATTTGCTAATTCATTACCTGAAACTGCTGGAATGAACACCTGAAAAAATCATTCCTGACCATCTTATTCTTACTGTAAGCACTGCTCTGAGTATGTACAGCTGTTGGAGGAAGAGAATGACCTGGTTGTCTTGACAGACTTGTTTAATTGTACCATGCAGTATTATTTGGAATACTTGAATGTTTATATTTTATGCATTCACTAGATACAAGCACAACAGTCAGGAACAAAAGGAAATGAAGGGCAGACAAGACACCTCTTGTCTTTTCAGAACTTTTAGAGGTAGTTTTCCTCAGGATTCTAGACACTCACACCCACAAATAATTCCACTGAGGGCACCACACAGAGAAGGTATACCACACAAGCAAAAGTGGAGGAGATGCCATGCTTCAAGGTGGGGCTCCTTAACCTCCTCTATCCCACTCAGCTCCCTACTCCTGAAAAGAGATGAGTGCAAAGAGCATTTACCCATGGCCAGAAAAAAAATCTTTTCCTGCCCTGGAAGAAGGGGATATTGAACTAGTTGAACGATCCTTTCTTACTCAACAGGAGACAGTGCTATGCTCCCCACAGAAGGAGGTATGCACAGTGCCATCTAGGTCATGTCTCTCTCATGTTTTGCTGGTTATGATCCCGGCACACATCATCTCCCTACACACACTTCACCTCTCCTTCACTCTTTGCAGGCTGACTCCTTGGTTGAACAGAATAATAAGCTGCTAGGATCTCTGGTCCCCAGTGCTCTAGTGGAAAGCTTATAGACAACATATAAAGACCATCAGTTCAGGTGTTAATCAACTCACTGTAACTCCTTCCATTCTATGTGCCCTACCCTGAAGATCCTTACAGGGAGCAACAAGAGGGGAGTGGGGAATGCTTAACTATCAGAACAGCTGCCATAGTCAGCAGTGGGGTTCTGAAAGTGTCAAAGAGCAATGGGAATGCCATCTTCCTGTTTCTTCCAAGGTCCCTGTGCCCAAAAAAGTTGCATGACAGAAAAGTAACTTGTGTGGTTTCCCCCTTCATGTCCCCACTGCCATTCTGGGTACCACTGAACCTGGTCCACTGATACTTGTCATATTTTCTGGAAAATTAAAGAACCTCTGACAAAGTAAACTTTGAAACCCCCCAAAAGGAATAGCTGACACCAGGTGATGGTTCCTGTTGCAGGTTTCACCTGTTATCTACATAAACACTCCGTGTGTGTAACCTCCTGCTCTTCTGTGCACATTGACAACTACCCGGTTTGTAGAGGAGTGGTGTCACATCAGCAATGTCCAAATGTGTTTGCAACAAGGTGCTATCAGCTCATATAGGGTGTTTTTACATTTGACATTTCATTATGGGGCAACATAACTGAAGTTAAAATAATATACTTATTTCTAATACCTAAATAAACAAACTTATAATGAAAAGAAATGATATTTAATTGTCGTGTTTCATATCCATGGTACTAAATATATTAGCTGTGGACCAGAATCTTAATTACAAGTTTTTTAAACACCTCTCATGGCTACAATAAGCCATCTTTCAATAAAATATCACAATATATGAAAATGCACAATGTATGCAATCTTACTAGAGACAGATTGCTTGTGAAAGGCAAGAACAAGTTAGCTCTGTTAAAAGAATTTTACATATTTTCCCCCCACAAAGGCAAATCATGGTATTATGCTTGTCACTCTGTGATTACAATGATAATACAAAACAAAATTTTGCAAAAGCATTCAAAGAAAAACCCAGAGAAAAAATTGCCTGTAAGAAATCAATTACATTAAAAAGAACAAAAAGAAAACACTAAACATTTTCTGAAGTAGTAATTTACTACAGAGGATTTCTAACCAAAGCACCAAGACACATAGTAGTGGTTCAGTTTGCTTAAAACTCTTATTAAGTTTCATAAATTTCAAAACCTCACAGTGATTTTACAGTTATTATTTTAGATGGTTCAATTTTCCATGTTCAATGATTTTGGATACAATTATTTAAGCACCATTGCTGCATAACCTCCATTCAAATTCTGCTGAAATAAGTGGAGAATGAGAAGCAGAGCGGCTTATGAAGGCAACATCTTTTATGTTTTTGTTATATGATACCCTCACCACAGTCTGCTCTCACAAAAGGAGCAACGGTGCATGGCAAGATGAGAACACATTATGGACAGCCAGAGAAAAAGCGGCAATCCATCTCAGTTACCAAACACCTGACAAAAGTTACCCAAAGCAGTTAGCTGTACTTTGGTGCTCCATTTATGGATGCTATGACTACAAACTGCTATAATTAAGTCAATGAAGAAATTTGGGCCAGGTTTTCAATCTATGTGATTTTAAAGTCAAAAGGCATTTCTGAATACAAAGTTGGCACGATTTTTACTGGATTAAAATTATGTCCCTGCAGTTTATTACATGATACTTTAATACTCCTCTTTCACTTAGTAAAATACATATGTGTAATAAAAATCTAAAGCACTGCTGGTGAAGTCCATTGGGGCCAACAGGCCTTACACCCCAGGTATATAGGATTGCAACCTTGGTTAACTTTTTCCTGTACTACTCTCTATCATGAGGTGTAAAACAGTCCTTCAGTAATCAAAAGACACTTTCTGCCACATGCAGAAGGGCACATTTGGATCCATCCCATTTTGTCTTAGTGCAGAAACACATATGAAGATGTTAACATACAAAAGGTACTTTAAAAATACACTTAGGTTGTAATAGCATTGCTATCAGTGAAAACAATCTCCCTGCCAAAGAAAACAGGTTCTGGATCTGGGGGCCCACTTCAGGAAAATATGGGACAGGAAGAGGAGAAGAAAGTTGAGAAGATTAGAAAACAACTGTTGGTGGTCAGTTGCAATGCATCACTAAGCAATACCTTCCTTTCTCTCCTGAAATTCTTACTTAGCAAGACTGTTTTTTTCCCTCCTTGATGGCTAGATGGTTCTAGTTAGATTCCACATCAGCTGCCTAGGTTGCCACATTTTAACACTGGCTTTAACAACAGGCATGTAATATTTATGCAATATAATAGTTTTACATATGGTTATTTGATGATAGTTTAAATAGGTTACAGCTGTACTGGGTAGTTAGCTGTATCCAGATTTTAAGGTGTAAAGATATGACCAACTAGACTCAGATGAAGAGGGTAAACAGCAATAGAATGTGCCCAGATTATTCTACATTAAAGCATACACAGCAACATTTGCTGATGACAGTGTAGTGTGTACAATCATAATGCTTTGTTTGCATACATGTAATTAAAACAATGATTGCATTCATTGAAATAGCATATTTCTTTTTATATGAAAGTACCAAATTGATTAGTACATTAAGAAGTAGCTTTTTCAAAAGCATTACTTTGGTAAATAATGACAGGGTTTTAGAAAGGACAAAGTTCTAATTTCTGAAAAATATTGATATACGGATATAATGTGGGGTGGCGGTGGGGAGTAGGGAAAAAAGTACAGGCTCTGAGGCTCGAATTCAGCTTTTTGGAAGCTAGCATGATGTCTTTAGATAGGCACCACAGATTTATGGCTAGCACTAGACACAAACGTATGCCAAGGGAGTTGTCCCTTGGCAGGACTGCACACACAGGCTCTCCTCAGCAAGGCTTATGAGGATGAATGCCAATTCTGTTGCCAGAGAGACAAAATACCACACGGTGTCATATGGATACAGCTTCTATACTTTCCATGCCTCACCAGTGCTTATGGCCTTGTGAAGCAGTATTTTTTTCATTGGTTAAAGCCAACCCATGTTGATCTACTGATTTTTACCAGCTGCATTAGCTTCATAAACAATTCAGTATATATCTAGATTTTGAGTCACTGCATCCAGATTCAAAATACTTTTCAAAGATTTCCATTATGCGGACATCATAATCCAGACAAATGGTAAACTAATGATGTGACTGATTGAACACTTACAAATCTACAGAAAATGCAAGTCAACCCATGTTGTTGTTACCATGCACTAGCCTTTAGAAAAGCAGATTTGTCTCTCTCACACAAATCAACAGCTGCCCAATATCTTAAAATAAACTAACAGAGAAAGAAAGTCAGCTATTTCAGAATGTGATCCTACCAAGTATATTCATTTGGAAGCATGCTCATTATCAGAGACTTGATTATCAGAGAAGAAACCTCCAGTTCTAAATGTCCTGTTTTCCAGAGAGCAAGCAAAACAGTTCCAATAGGTACCTCATATATTGATATTCTCCCTCAAATTAATGAATATTGCTACCTAATATTAATTATGAAAGGGCAGATTGAAATATGGTGAAAAAATCACTGTGGGTATTTTTCACATCATTTCTAAAGCTGCCTTTAGAAAAAAAACCTAATCGTGAAAAGAAAATCTGGTGATATGAGAAACAAGCAGTAATGTGGAGTGGCAGTGGTGGTGGGAGGAGTAGGGAAGAAATCTGTATTGTTCATAAATACAGAAATATTGGATATTGTTCATAAATACTGATAATATTATCTATTTTACCTTAATTATGCAGCATTAAGAAAGAAATCTACAAGAACCTGATCCTGCAGCTTCAGGCTAGTACTATAAAAAGCACCTGTGAGGAGGGTGGGCTTTTGACCTGTTGGCTGTGCAACCAACTTCATACTGTACTCGCAATAAAACCAGGTGTTTTGGATTTTTATTTTAGTATGCCTTTCAAAGAGCAGATTTAAAGAAAGAAATCTAACTCTTTTCAACATGCTACCTTTATCTTTAGGCTGACTGCAAATGGATGCTCTAGTTTTTTTAGTGGAAACACCATGCCTTTGCTACTAGGCTTCTGCTGTTAAGGGACTCTAGATACGTGTCTCCAGTCTCTTCCATGTGGAACAAGTCTGGTATGCCCCAAACGAAAACAAACAAAAAAACAAACCTTCAGAGAGTTAACAACTTCTATAAAGACACAGCTATGGCAGGACTGGCAAACAATGGAATGCTAATATGTGTATGGCTTAAAAGAAGTCAATATTGTTTCTTTCCTTTCATCATTTGATCAGCACATGTAGTATCCACAAATATTTTAACAAAGCTTACATTGCTCAGAGATCTGCTGCTATCCTTCAAGCTTTTCTCCAAAACAATAATTGCTTTCAATGGGTCTTGTGCAGCAGCACCAGCATAATGAATTACTCCCAGAATCTCGCACTCTTCTTTAGATATTATTTGGCATATGTGAAATATGAGTTTAGTGATCCAAGTAAGAAAAGCCTGGATGTTTCCAAAAATCAGTTCATTAGGAACTGTGTATGAAACATTACACAATAAACAGATTATGGATCTCTTAAGGCCCAATGGAAAAGGAGGAGAAATTTTAGGTGCAGTTTTCAGAAACTAAGTGCTATTTAGTAGGGTCTAAATTTCAGAGGAAACATGAGAAAGACAGAACCAATAGTTGCAATTGTTACCTTTCAAAAGTATTTTGGGAAGTAAAATGTGTACTAGCAATATGTTTACAGGCTCTTAAGACCCCATGAAAAGCTTAAGACATACTTGATGGTAAAGGCATGAACTACAGCAAGTAGCTCTGAAGGGCACACTTAAAGAATGCACTTTGGAATGTGTGTACATACCTAAATAAACATACATACACACCCTAGATATAGACACCAATTACATATACAAGGATATACACAGGTATAAAATCAAATGTAAAAGTAAGCTTGATTAGGAGTCTATGCTTGTCTGCCTCACTGTTCTGTAAATGAAGCTCAGGCAACTTTGGTTATTCAGCCTAACACCTGAAACTGTGAAGACTCATTGCACTTCAAAGTAAAGCCTACCTCACCCCAACACTCATCCCCACAAAAGCCAACAGAAACCCATTTCCACGTATGTTCTTGGAACCATCCCAGTTTACATGACATAATTTTATAAACCTTGCATCCCTACTCTGAATGCTATAAAGAGACCTTTTAGAAAACTTAAAATGTTCATTTATACATTATATGTAAATGAGCTGTTTTATGCAGTTGGTACCAGGTGACCTTCATGTTAATTCTCTAAGAATCTGCTTGATTGGTTTTGCAGGGAAGGATCTTGAATGCATTTTGAAGTTTTGCCTATAGGATAGTACAGGTCTTTTTATCCTTGAAGGGGTTTTCCGAAGCTGGTATGCCCATTAGTAAAGGATCCTTCCTGGCATGCTCCTCACAATAGCACAGTAGATCTGCTGATGCCTTGGACACCTGAAGAGTGAAAAAACATGCAGAACTCCAATATTCTAGAGTGACTTCCTAGAAGATTAGCAGGATTGGTGACAAAATTTCAACCAGTTGCAGGTGGATATACATGAGTGAATAAAGATAAAAAACAATACAGAAAGTAAACAGAGAAGCTGCTGTATCTCAGTTCTGATTCCTAGATTAATTTCAGGGTGCAAAAATAATGAAAAACAAGATGACACATTTAATCAGGTATTTGAGAATTTGTAATGTTCTTCCGAACAACTCAGTGCAGCTTAGAATATAGAGAAATCAACCATTACAATAAAAATCTAAGACTGTGTCATATGGTAATCATTATAGCCAGTAAGTTCTGCAAATGATTTGCAGCTTCCAAGAAATTTGCAGCACAATACTTGTACATGTTCCTTTAAAAATAAGTTCCTCTCTTCTGAACAGGGATTATTCTCAGGTAAGGGTACACAAGACTTTCCTGCATTAATTATCATCATCATCATCTATTCTTTACCTCTTATATGTTGTGTTAGTAAATTAATCTATGTGTCCACAAATAAACAGGACATTATAAAACAGGCTTCCTCCAATTAGATGATTTCAAGATATGCTGCACTAGAACTCCCACCATCAAAAACATTGAGACCCAGGGTGGTGTACTGGTCAAGAGTGCAGGACTGGGAGTCAGGTGATCTCTGTTCCAAGTCCCCACTCAGCCATGGAGCTCACTGGGTGATTTTGGGCCAGTCACAGACTCTCAGTCTACTTTGTTAGGCGGAGTTATTGCTGTGAGGATAAGATTGAAAGGAGGAGACAAATTATAAAAGTTGCCTTGAGTTCCTTGGAACAAAAAAAATGTAGGCTATAAATATAACAAATAAATAAATCATCCCTAGGGATTATAGACCAGCACTTCTGCAGTGCATCAGGAATGGGAATACTGTCAAAAACAACATTACAAAAGCCATTTCCAGGCTTGCTCCACTTAGGAAGATATTGTGTATCCTCTGGTCTCCCCTTCCCTCAATCTTATGAGAAGAAGACTAGTCTATCTTACATTATCCCTATTGCACTGGGACAATGTATATCAAATATGTTCATTCTTTGCTGCTGGTTTTATCTTGGTTTTACTATGCTGCTGTTTTTATTTGTTACACTGCCTGCATTTTATGTTTTTAATTTATTGTACACTATTTGAAAAGTTGGGTTATTGCTTTTTTTCTTGACAGCCTCTCACACAGCATGAGGTTCTGCTCCTCCAGAAGGCTCTGAGAGCATGTGCACAGCTGTCACTAGAAAATGAAAAACTCCCTTTGCACATGGCAATTAGGATCTCAGTCTATAATTACAGTTTTTGAGACTGTATACATTCTGAAAATTACTTCCAATGTATCTGAAATATGTGGAAAGGCTATCGCAATGCGATTCAACTGCCAAAGCAATATTTAGTGCTATGCCAGTAGTATAAGCTGGCATGTCAGGTTTCCCTAGAAAATCCAGTATGCTGCCTTATGCTAGAGGTCCCTTATGACAGTGCTATGTTAACTGCATAAGTGGAGAAGTAATACTGCCCAGTGCCTTCAAATATAGATTGAGTATATTGATGTTAATGAAAGCTGAATAAAGAAGGCACACCCAAAAATGGGCTATTGTGTACACATTGGACATTATGGAGAATATGCATATTACCAAAATGAGCAGGGAACTGTGTACATATTTTCTGAACAACATGCATAACCACCACGACATGTCAGTGCTCAGTTTAAGTACAATGTGTCTGAACTATGAAAGTGCACAGTCACTAAAAGAAGAATCTGCATAGTTACTAAGCAATGTGTGAAATGCAGTGAACTATCATATTTTATCTCCTCCTAAAGTGCTTTAAGCATCTGCTTTTGAGTTACAGTTGTTCTTATTAGCACATTCAAACTATGGTACTTTATGGCCTCATCAAGCTTCCCTTGTGGCAAAAGGGTTGACACTTCAATACTGGAACTTTGCTCTCTATTACTGAACAGTGGATAGAAGGAGGTCAGTGTGGGAGAAATCCTACATTATGGCAGGAGACTGCTGAAACAGACATTTTAGTGTTTCATGCCAGTTAATTTGTTTCAGCACTAAATTTGTAATGCTCTAACCTAGGGAAATAACTGAAGTGTATGAAAAAATATGCAAAGCCTGTTTAGAACTGTTTGTCTGCAAGAAAATGGTATCTGTAGCCTGAAGCAAGGCTTACTTGAGTGTAGTTTGGCTTAACAAACATAACTCATTATAAAAACACTACAGGAGTTTCACTTGCCACATGCCTTGGTTGAACATGGTTTACATTCTAAATAACCATATTCTAACATTTGCAAGGACCTCCTTAGGAATCTTTTTAAAAGCAGCTTTAGAGAAACTTAAATCACTTGCTCTAAATAATGGTCCCACAATATAAGGAGGAAAAACCCCTTCTTACCTTTATTCTCTCTATAGATGCTTCTATTCTCAACTGCTGAACAGTTCTTCTTGCCTGAGCTATGTTGTTTGTTGTGCCAGAAGTTTTGCTAGACATTTTCAGTATGCTCTTTCAAGCACTGTTAAGAAAAGTTGAACAGTTATTTTTCTAGCAATGGTTGCCAATCCACAACAGAATGGGCCACTCAAAAAAACTTCATACCTTTCAGTTGACTTTGTTTTGTGACAGTTACTAAGCTATCATAATGGCAAGATATAATAACTGCACTGTAATAAAGTAGATTAAGTACTAGAAAATATCAGTTTATAGATGTAAAATTCTTTTAAGTAGAATAGCCATTCCAGTTCATAACCATGGACTATCTTGTTCATTTTCAAACATTTTCCAAAGGAAAGGCAACAAAGGGGACTTCAGTTTTGTTTAAGACTTACTACCCATTCCAATGTCTGGAAAATAAGAGCAACAAAATGTTATAATAATTACTGATAGACATAAATTCTTTAGATTTACTTTGTTTTTCTGCTGTGGCTCCCCTGTAGAATTATGATTGTAAGGGATGTGTCAGTTCTTCTCCTCACCATCATAGCCAGACAAATGCAGATTGTTTACAACTCTTGGACACAGCCCTGGCACCACAATTAATCAAGTTCTCCACAGTAAAAGCAGATTGCTTACCTCATTCTTCACACCTTCATCTGTGCATTAACACATATGCATTCTGCACCTGCATAGAGCCCGTTGCCAGGAAGATTCAATATCTAAGAAAGTTTTGGCAGGAACCCCTTCCCCATTCTGGAGTCCCTATAAAAAGCTCCGGTCATTTTCCTCAGTTCCAAATGGCCTCAGAACCAAGGGAGGATTCATAGATTTACAGAACAGCAAGGTCAGAAGGGGCCAAGAAGGCCATCGAGTCCAACCCCCTGCTAGTGCAGGATGCCAATTACACCATCCAAATCAGAAAATTATCCAAATGCTTCTTAAATGCATCTAGTGTGGAAGTCTTTAGTCTTCTTTTTAAAGGCTGAACAGGCCCAGTTCTTCCAGCCTCTTATCATAAGACTTATCAACCTCTCATTAAGCAAGGTAGTACAGTAAAGGGGAAAAAACAGACAGTTAAGTACAGACTGTTGAGTCACTCACAACATCCAGTGGGATAGGTGGGTGGGTTGTGTGAATGCACAGATAACTACTCAAAGACCATTAGTTACAGGCACGCAACCTGCTTGTCTTCTGCATGGTTTCTGTACATCACACATATGACTGACCAGCAAGCTTACCCATTCCTGAATGGTAGATCAGTGTTGTCAACCAGTTATCAGTGAGAGGACTGTTCTCCCAAATGCACAATCAGCTCTGGTGTGGATGTTGAGATGGTAATGCTTACTGGAGGTGGACGGAGTTGACCAGGTTGCTTCTTTGCACAAGTCTGGCAGCAGGTTACCTGTATGCAATGCTGTCAAAGTTGCCACCATTTGAGTTGAATGTGCTTTTGACCGCACCAGGAGTTGCAGTCCTGACAGTTTATAAGCCAATGAAACTGTCTACACTACCCAGGCTGAAAGTCTTTGTGGTGAGAGGGATTGATCCTTTGTCTTGCCTCTTCAACAAACAAAAACTTTGGGGGTCTGATGGAAAGATTCTGTCCTGGAGTGGTAGAAAGCCAGCACTCTATGAATATCCAGGGTATGCATCATAGGCTCCATTGGGCTGGATGGGGATGGCAAAAAGCTGCCAAACAATGTTCTGTTTCAAATGAAAAGAGGATACAACTTTTCAGAGAAAGAAAGGATCTGGATGCAACACTACCTTGTCTTGGTGAAATACAGGGGATGGAGGATATATCTGCAGGGCACAGAGTTCACTGGAGAGTTGGGCAGAAATAATTGCCATTAGGAATGTCACCTTCCAAGATATAAGATGAAAATCAACTGTTGCCAGTGGCTCAAACGGCTTCGGCTTCGTTGTTAAGAGCTTGTAAGATAACCAACAAACTCCAAGATAGCAACAGCAATAGAGTAGGCAGGAGAGTGTTCTTTAGTCCCTTCAGGAGGCACTCATCAGATGTGAAAAAGCCGATGAGCCCTGAATTGGGTCATGGAAAGAGGAAATGGATGTTAGGTGAACTCTGATAGGTGACACCTTTAATTCATGCCACGGCATCATGACCAGGTGAGAAAGATCTGTTCAATCACACAGCCCTTAGGACTGAAGCCTTGGGTATTGGCAAAGAGGGAGAAAGCTTTCCACTTCATCACATACAAGTTCCTTGTCACTGGTTTCAAATCTTTCTCTAGGATGGAGTCCAGTCATGCATGAACAAGTGACTGGGCATGCCCTAGGGACAGATTTGCAGTGCTGTTAGAGAGTGTTGACATCTGGGTGATCTCTTGATCCCATGAGATCAAGTCTGGTATCAGCAGCAACTGGATATAATTTCTCTTGGACATATGCAGTATTGGGGTAAACCAAGGTTGTCTTAGCCACCAAAGAGTAATTATGGTGCAGTCTGTTGTATCCCAATGAACCTTCACTAATACTCATGTTATCAGAAAAAAGAGAGGAAAAGGTCCCCATCCAGTGTATCAGAAACACATCCCTCAGAGAACCCCTGCCCTCTTGTGCCCAAGAGCAAAAGCTGTTGCAGGTAGCATTGTTCTGAGCAGTGAAGAGTTTTATCAGTGGAGTCCTGCAAGTGCTGAAGATCTTGTACAGAGTGTCTGAGTCCATCTGTCACTTGTGGATGTCAAGACTCCTCCTGCTCAATGAGTCCTCTAGACTGCTGTCAGTCTCAGTGACATTAGCAGCAGTGTGATATGTCAGTTGACACACCAGTTCCAGATTCCAATGGCTAGCCATACTAACAAAATTGATCTGGTACCATCCTGTTTGTTGATGCAGAAAAGCACTATGGCATTGACTGTAGCAATTGACATGTGCTGTCTTGCCAAAATGTCTTGTACATCCTTTTGAATCTTCATCCATGTTGTCAATGCTAGGTCATCAGCATAGCATTTCATTTTGTGCATAGCACATTGTTCTATGCATTTTCTTAGTCTTCCTGCCATTATTGAGGTAAAGAGTTTGTAATCCATGTTTCAAAATGAAATAGGTCAGTAAGATTGTAGCAAGGTGGAGTCATTGCCTTCTTTATATATCCTTATTATATGGGCTTCATGCCATGTCAGCAGTAATAGCTTCTGTTATTGAATCACATTCATTAATGTAACATTAATTGTTCCTCTAAACACTTGTCGTATACTGCAGTGAATCCATCCAGTCTGGGTGCTGCATCTTTTAAAATTTTCTGATAGCTTTTAATTCTTGAATAGTATCATTTAATATTTTCCTGTGATCAGATGTAAATTTTTCAAGGTGTGTTTCTTCTATATACTGTTCCATTCCATCTTCCAAGTTGGTGGGTTTTGTGCGGGAAGGAGGTTGGGGGGTATACATTTGAAAAGAATCAGATAAACTGGTCATGAATTTCCTTTTCCACATATGCAATTTCACTGTCTTTTTTCACCCCTATTATAAATCTTCTTTCCATTTCTCTTTTAAGACAGTGCATTAAATATCTTACAGGTTTATTTGTATGTTCCAAATGCTTTTGCTTTAAAATATCTCAACTTTTTTGTAACTCTTCTGTCACTACCAGGTCTAAATGATTTCTTAATTGTCTAAGATCAGTTAAGGCTGTTTTGTCTTGTCCTTTCTTATGGTGATTTTCTAGTATTTGACTTCTTTCTAGGAGCTTTTTAATTATTATTATTATTATTATTATTATTATTATTATTATTATTATTATAACATTTCTATGCCGCCCCTTGTTCTGCTTTTTCTCCCTATTGCTAATTCCTTTCAAATAAACTTTACTAGCTTCCCATATTGTTGCTGTAAAGACATCCCCTGTATTAATCTAAAAATTTCTTCCATTTTTTCAGATTTCTTCAAGCTACCGTGTCATTCAATCTCCATCTTCTTCCAACTTGTTCTTCTCACCAAATTACTTCTAATGGATTACAATCAGAGTATCTTAGGCTGAATCTTTACGGTTTCTAAATTCATAATTAGATTTTAAATATCTAAAAATGTCAATCTTTGAATATGTCTTACCTCTATCAGAGAAAAAAGTATAATCCCTAATTGTAGGAGTTTAAGCCGCCATCTATCTTGCAAATGTCACATTTCCATATAATTATAAACATTTTAGAAAGCTTTACTCCCTTTTACTGTTTTAGACTTGTCTTTATTAGGGTCTACTACTCCATTCATACCACTAAGAATCAAAATTTCTCCTTGAAAATCCGGGGGTGGGGGGGGTTTGCATAGAATCTTTCTTTTGCATCATTTGGGGCATAAATAATTGTCAATGCATTTGTCTTTCAATTTGGGAGTCTTATGCCATTCATATCTTTTGTCAGTGATTGCAGCCTACATCCCAGGATGTTCAAAGAAGCAGAGGAGTCACAAGGTTTTAACAGTCCTGCTACTGAATGCCTACCCATGAATCATCTAGATGACTTTGATCATCATGTTCAGCCAAAGACTGACCACACTAGCATATGACAGATTGGCTAGAAAGGCTCTTCAGCCTCTGCAATGCCATGTGAATAGCTAAAACACAACCCTTAAACAGAGTACCAGGATATACTTGAAAGAGTACTGAGAATGTTTTACTGATAGAAGTGCATAGTCTGCCACACCCTTAACAAGATTCATGTGTACAAGTAAGCAGGCAGGAGCTAAATGGTTACCTGAAGATCAGTAATGCACTTACTGTGTGCTACAAACTGGTGCTTAATCCTGGAAGGATAGAAGTGGTCCAGGTCAATAGAGCTGATCCAGAAACAGGAATCCAGCCTCTATGGGACAGTGCTGTGCCCCTCCTTAAAATCAGATTTTCTTTCAGAAAAAGTTAAACAAGTTTACATCCAACAGTATTGTCCTAGTTTTGAAAGTTTAACAAAGAATACACATTGGCATTTGTATTTCCATTGCACAGGATCTACTTCTGATAATAAAGGAAAAAACACCTTTAAAATGTTTGCTTCTATACCTCATTGCCTTTTTGTGCCTTTGACTGTTTATTATCCAACAGCCATTTTAGTTTTTTCATTA